ATTCGTTCTTATCTTGGGTGGTTTCGCTAAAGGATTAAACCCCCTGCATTTCGACATCCAACAACCAAACACACCTCCCATCCACGATGAGGCGGTACACAATCTGGTTGGATTCATGCGGACGAACCTTTGCTAATAGAGTAAATTATTTAACGGCCTCCAAATCCATTTCTACTATCCGCCATCGACATAAAAGAAGTTTTCATGATAACTGCCCCTGACTGTTACTGAAATTATATCACGTAAATGCATCTTTGGCCAACCCCTTTTCAAACTGAAGAAGGTCTTAAAAGATGACGTTAAAGGTGTTTTAAAGCAGCATTTCAAAGGACAATGAGGTCGCTTGATTGCTACGAGAAGGAACACAGTTAAAGTAAATTCCCTTCATACTCTCGTTTATTGAGTGATAGTCAGAGTCAACTTTACGGGAAGCACTACTGAATCAGAGACGATGCTCGATGATTCCTAAGAATCGAGAAAAAAATGAAATTGCGTTTGAATGTTAGGAGGGCTATTTACTTAAGGATAGCCTTCTAATTTCCTCCCATCATATTTTACCACCTACTAACCATATATTTTCGTACTGTCACTATAACTCTGATTCCACTGCGAAGCTATAACATAGTGAAGATAACGAGCTCATCCGCAGTCTATCATTTCGCTTGTTGAGCGAACGATCAGTGCGGTGCCGCTTCCTATCAGCGACGATACCCAAATGTTTAATGACTTTTAATTCTTTTTTTCCTGCTTTTGTTACCTTAATTATTACTTTTTATCGCTGTTATTCCGCCTAAGTCACCTAGATTTCTACTTTATTATGATACACAATTTAGACGATGTGGAGCAAGAAATGGAAAGTCTCAGAGGAATGAAGTTTCTGGCGGCACTGTTAGCACACAAAGCACCGAGTAACCTATATATGTGAGGATTCTCTTGGTGGGTGGATGATTTGACAAGTTGTTATGAGCCGCCAAATTCTATTACGAAAGCGGTATTTGTCGGAAAGATAGTCTCGAAAACATTTATTCAGCAAATTTACAAATTGTCCCGACTTCATTGAAAGAAAAATGAAAAAGAACAAGGTGAAATAAAATTTGAAAAATATAGCAAATGCCATACGCTTGAGCTTGAAGTTCTGTGTAGTTCTTCTTTTCATCTCTTTCCATTATTCAACGTGATTTTAGGAGTGGTGATAGTGGTAGTGATGGCATCTAGTGCGGCCAAGGAGATGGTCTTCCCTTTGTCAAGTCCATCAGGTCTAAAAATTGAATGGTTGATATTGGCACATTGTGGTGCACATGTCGTTGGACTATGTATGAATTCTAATGAAGCTTTTATTATGATTAGCAAATCTTCGTATTCTTCTCATTGTGTAATCAAACTTACTAATGTGAGTTGTATTATATTTTGAACTTTTGATGGCTAAGTAAAGTAATTGGCTTTTAAACAATTTCTGATAAGTCGCTCTGATGTGTAATGTAAGTTTTGAATAGGACGAAAATATACGTATAATTGTGCAGTTCTGCAATGCCAAAATATTTCACTCAGTCAAGTCGGAGCGACGAATATTCAGTGTGGTGGAGAAAATTGAACGATGGATGCTATGTGCCATTGTCTTCGAGCTTCGTTTAAATTCTGTGGACTTGTGGCCCGCTCTAGAGGCTCAACCCGTGCAGATGTCCCTGACAGATTTTTGAGAGAGCTAATGCAGAGACGATGTCAGTAGTTTTGCCACTTCGTGACTGATATTTTGTAGAGTCCGTTAGCGGTCGAATATCGTCCTGTGGTTGCCATAAGAGCGAAGTTTGCAGCTCAGCTCAATCTTAACACTATGTCAAGTGTGATATTTACCCCGAGTTTCAACACTGATGCAGTGTACCGGTTGTTCTCTGTCTCTCCATGCAAAAGGAACACTCCATTTTTACAATTTTACAGCGTTCGGTGGCACTCAGCACAGTTTTATTTTAAATACCGAAGTCCTGCTTTCCAAGAAGTATCTTAATCATAGAAAATGGTAAGACAGAAAAAGGTTATCACTGCTGCATTCCCAGTTGAGTTTCTGTGCTTTCAACGCTGGCTTCCCTTGCGCATAATTTGATTTACGCTATCAAAAAGCTCGTCGAAGAGTGTACCACACAAAGAATTATCGCCCTTTGCGTATTTAACTACTCTCAAGGTGGATACCCGACCCACAAATTCTAGCGACTGGCCGGTGCGGTAACGACGTAAGAAAAACTCCGGCTAGATTCACCTCGGGACTCCAGAAGGCAAAAATGATTTTACCAGCAAAGCTCCTACTTCTATCATGTCATTGGGTGCTCCAGTCCGTCTATTGGTGAAAAGATAAAACAAACTAACCGCGAGATGCCATTGAAACTTCTTAATGCTTTAAACTCAAAACCAGAGCACTCGCAAAGACGCAGACCTAGACAGTTTCTTAATGCTTCTAGTCACATCAGATTCCATATGATCGGACCACATGGGTGAGGAGCCAGGAGGACTTTCAAACGAAAAGAAGACTACGGAACTGTCTTCATCTGCGGAATTAAAAATCCGATGCAAAATTTTGGAGCCTCGGCTATGTCGTTCACCCAATGTCTTCTATCTAGTCTCTTCGTACGAACCCTATCACCGCTCCTGACTACTCTTCCCCTCCAGGACCCACGTCAAAGAAACTCAGTATCATCAGCTGCTATTCATCAACTTTTATAGCAGATAAGAGCAAATTGGGCACATCTCACTATGAGTTGGAGGACATCATCCGCAAAAAAAGTTTAACAAATCTGTCTGGACTTCAGTGTCAGATCAAAGACCGACAGCAGAAGTAATATAGGGCAAAAAAATTTTGAGACAGGATAGCGAAACGAAAACTGAAACTGTCTTCTAGGACTCTTTTTCGTAGAACGTCTAAAAAAGCCGTTGGTCAATAGAAGAAAAAGTAGCTGATGGGCACGGGAATCTCTTAACGGCATGACTCATGCGTTGACTGATCATATACTTGTAACAAAGTGGCTCCTCTTCGACACCTCAGTAGTACCTGAATTCTGCGCGAGATCGAGTCACCCGTTTTAGGCGCGAGGATTCGTATCAGCCATAAGTAAGACAAGAAAAAGGTGGTGGCGCATAGGAAGAGCAGAGCAAGCCGTGTATGACAAGAAGATCTTGATAAATTTCTTTCCCCATAAGGCTGGCAGACAAGAGAAGACCAAATCGACGACTCAGAATTGCATGTCGATGGACTTGATACTTGCGTCGAACCAGCATCAGCTCCGCAGATGCAAAGTTCTGATAGTGTCTCCACTACCACCACTAATGATCTGCTCGAATTAGGTAAAAAGGGAAGCCTGTTTCCCCTAGAGCTACCACTTTGAAAAACTCACAGTGAATGCTTTGGTAAAAGAATGTACTCCAGTGTAGGCAGAATTGCTTTTGTAAGCAGCTAAAAAACGATTTCATCTCAGGAAATGCTGTTGAGATCTTTAACACTACTATATTTCGTTATCCGCGTTGATAAAGATGGGATTATTATCACATCGATAACAGAAACATTTTAACCTTTTTCCGCTCTGTCTCCCCTGTATCAAATCTTCAAATTCCTAATGGTGGAAAGTCATTCAGGACTCTAGCTTCTCAGGTTTGAAATGTGATTGAAAGCATGGAGATGGGCACAACTCCAGAGTTCGATAGTGTCATTGATGTCAGAGCTGGAGGATACAAACTTGTACTCCTCCCATACATATATCGACATGTCTTCAACAAAAAATCTCAGACAATGAACAGCTTTGAGTACTGTCAGCTAATCTCAGAGGAGTGAAGAATTTTTTGTAACTGCCGTCAAATATGCTTGTTGAAGTGTACTTCACCGATGATCTTAAATGAAGATAGGGAATTGAGCAAGCAGGATTGCAAAAGGGACTACACCACATGGATTACGTTGAGGCCGTGTCACGGATCACACTAGCCTTTATAGAATATCGTATGCACGTAGTCTACTCCTTGTCAATTATGAGAAAGCGTTTGACAACGCCAAAACAAAGGTAATCACATAATTTCTGTCGACCAAGCTGTACACATGTCCTATATACGAACATTAACTGACTGCTATCGAAATTGCAGCGCAAAAATACTGCATTTCCATTTAGCTCTCACCATGCACATAGAAAAAGCATATCGACAAAGCAGTACTATATCATCAAAGCTATTCACTGCCGCACTGTAAGCAATACGCCAAGAAGCAGGCCCCAACCTGCTTACCTATTCAATTCAGCGGTTCTACCAGGACTCTATTATACAGGCTACGCGGAAGAAACGTGGGCTAATACTTTACCCGCGCAATAAAGCTGCGCACCCCATATGGCACTTGAACGAAGCTATGTCAAATTTATACCCATTGATGTAGAGTGATGTGCAAAACTTTCGCGTCAGGCGGGACCAGAACCCGCACCTTACTCCATCCGGCAATGCCTGCTCTATCCTTTACACTACTGACGCCCATTTTGCACAACGCTCTTTCTACTCTACAGCGCATCTATCTGCCAGCCGCCAGCCGTCAACGGCTTGGCTCGGATAGTCGGTCTCGACATAGAACCCAGTCATGCTGACAATATTGGGTATCAAAGATCAAACGACATTCTTTTTATTTAACTGCTTCTAGCGGTGATGTTACAAATATATACCCATTGATGAGTAGTGATGTGCAAAACTTTTGCGCCAGGCGGGACTAGTATGCGCACCTCACTTTTTCCAGGAATGCGTGCTCTGTCCGTCACACTACTGATACCCATTTTGCACAACGCTCTTTCTACGCTAAAGCGCACCGATCTGCCAGCCGCCAGCCGTCAACGGCTTGGCTCGGGTAGTCGGTCTCGGCAAATAACCCAGTCACGCTGACAATATTGGGTATTATAGATCAAATGGAATTGCTTTTATCTAACCGCTTCTAGCGGTGGTATGATCTTATAGATATATACCCAGTGTTACAGAGTGATGTGCAAGACTTCAGCGCCAAGCGGGACTAGAACCCGCACCTCATTCTTTCCAGGAATGCGTGGTCTATCCGTTACCCTACTGGCCCCCATCGCTCTTTTTAGAAATCTAGAAATATACAAAGAGCAACTAGCAAAAATATTTTAGTCCATTACCTTTTCTCTCTTCCTTCGCACATCAAAAAAGCGCCCATCAAAGACAAGTACCGAGCGGCTAGAAATGTGTGCACAGAAGAGAAGGAATGGAACAAATCGCAAAATTTGGTACGGCAAATAGCCATTTCCATTGGCTACAAATCATATGCACTCGCAGTCGGCTACACCCCAGGAATCTATCAATTACACTTTTCCTTCGCACCCGCTCCTACAGTTTTCCAAAAATTTCATAACTCCATCACGACAACGCATACACTTTTTGTTCACAGCCTACCGGATTGGCTCTTCAAAATAGTTTTCTCGACGTTCTTCGGTTTTTCAAGCTTTTCTTTTTATAGGAAATTGTAGAACGCGATGGAAATCTCAAAACATAGTTCGCTACCGTGAAAGCTGGTTACTGCTAACGAATTATGAACTGATTTCATTTAATACGATATCCAGTTACACTACTATGGGAAGATCGTGAGAGGTCAAACCCTTCACATATTCCTTGATTCGTTGCTTTAATAGTACCGTTGTGTTGCCCCACTTGTACAATCAAGGATGCTGAGTGATATGTAAAATTTCAACATCAAGCGGAGTCCAAATCCACTTCTCACCTAACCAGGGCGAGAGCTGCCGTTACACTGACGGCTACCAATATGCTGCCACCTTTCGTCAATAATAAAAAAGAAGGAGGTGGCTGAGCGGTAAGTGACGCAGGATATCAACCAGTAAGGTTCTTGTGACACCCTTCTTAACACTTTCCTGCAATCAATCAACGTACGCGTCGCAGAACGCCTTACCTCGGCTGTTCCCGCGATTCGAAAGAAATTTGACCTGAATTTCTGTAAATGTACAGAATATGATTTCTATAAATCTACACTTCTGTAATATGACATTCCTAAGCTGACTCATTTTAGTATAGTCCGTTATCATTTACATCGAACCTCATGCTAAACAGATTCAGTGTAACAAATAGTGCTCTGATAGACATTATGTTTGAACATCATTCCCTCGGCAGCACTTATCTGTACATCTCATGGCTCGAGCATACGCTTGTCTGTGCATCCCAGAGCTTGGGAAATTTTTTGTTGTAGAGAAATAGCACTTTATCAAACTAATTCCTTTTCTTCAAGTCTCTTTATAAACCGTGCCAGAAACTTCGTTACCAGAGTTCTTCCGACGTCTCTAAACCGCTATCTTTCATCCATACCTTTTGCATATTTGCCATTGTACTTCACTGAATAAATAAATCCATATTCAAAGATTGTGTTCTACATGCAGGCATAACTATTCAGAGTCAATCACAATCAATTGGCGACTACGGCAGTTCTTAATGTCTCTCTGTTCTTCCTCGGAAATGTCTACGACATACAGTGTAATGATCCGAAGACAAATCAGATTCATTAAAAAAGCTTCTTCAGCGATATGTGTCGTCGTTAAATCAAACTCTCAACAAGTGCAAAGTCCACAGTGGACAAACCGGTTTAGCCATCTTGATGACTCTCAGATCATGCATACAAAAAGATTACTAAAATTCACAGTGAGTGGTTGACTCTCCAAAAAAGCAACAATAGCGAAAGTAAATTTTTTCGAAGAGTACTTTGCCAAGTATGGCAACTATCGTGAATCTATCTCTGACTCAGTTCAACAGTTAGAATATCAGGATCACTTACTAAACTTTGCCGACTCTGAATTCCTAAACCGTGGTCTACTCGTTCTGTCTGATTCCTGTGACAAAACCTCTGACAAAGAGGCTATTGCTCTTACTCAGAGTAATCATAATTCTATTGTTCACACAGTTGCCTCGGACCCTTCTCTACTCAATTTCGTAGACGCTTCTATTCTGTCTAAATCTGAACTACTTTCATTTGATGGTAACCTACCAGACTATTCAAAATTTTCTGCAACTCTAGTGGATGATAAGAAGCAGTTGGGCGATACTACAAAATTCTCTCTACTCAAATAGTGTTTGCGAGGGAAAAGCTCTTCTATCTATTCAAGGACTCTCTATCACTCCAGGTAACTTTTATATGGAAAAAGATACTCTCAAAACTCTCTAAGATGATAAAGTCATCTTAAGGCAGATCATTTGCACAAAGCTCGCACAAAGCTCCATGTGATCTGCAGGGACGGCAATTAGCAATGCTATTCAATCAAATGTTTGCTCTAGTACGTCAACTTTACTATCCAAATGAGAATGACGTCATGACCATAATGCCACCCCCACAGAACTTTTTAACCTTCTCACCAATATTGTTCGCAAAGAATCCGCTATGAATGAAATGGAAAATATTTTTCGGCAACCCTTGAACGACGCTTCGCTGAATACTCTGTCGTCGCAAACCCCACAAATCAGCGTGCTCCTTCACAAAGGCCTCTTCGTAATACTAGGTCGCAAAAACGGTCAACGCCTTTACAATGTCCTTACTGCGGATCCATAATACATACAGCAATGACGTGTAATGGTTGCAGTGCGCCACAACAATGTCATATTCAATCAAGAAAACTACACTTATGCTATAACTGTTTATCTCCCCAGCATGCAATACAAAACTGCACTTAAAATCGAGTATGCACCTTCTGTTCCAAGAAACATCATTCTTTCTTGTGTTATCGTCAATTTTATGAAAAAACCGTTTTTGCACAAAAGGAAAGTCTCCCGCTAGGTAAATCGTCACCTCTCGAGATATCACTAAGCCATCGAAGCCGCAACGTAATTATCAACGAGAATACACCGCTTCTTCCGCATCTTTCTCTCAAACCGAGCAGACGTCAGCACCACCTGCAGGTTATTCGTCTATACGTTCTTCAGCACAAAATTCCACTCAGAAAGGACACACTACTCACACTAAACCAGAAGGTTTCTTGTGGCCCATCAGCTTTGTTCATGTGTACGTCAGTAACTCTTTTTGATCCGATGAAAACTTTTGAAAATTTTTAAGTAATAGCCTCCTTTGATTCATGATCCAATAAGACTTACATCATAAACAACGCTGCTGAGAATCTACACCTTTCTCCTTCATAAAGTAAAGATATACAACTGCTCTTTTTTGGTACAGATGACCTTATGAAAATACGATGTAATGAATATCAAATAGGCGTTTACACGGACAACGGAGAAGAATTTTTGAAAGTGCACTCCATTCCAAAACTGCCCCGCCCAATACAACAAGTACTGATGTTCTCCGAAGGAAATTTCGAATACATGGTTCCAACCACTGAAGAGCCAGCACTTCTAATTGGTGTTGACTATTTTTGGGACAATTTTCTCTTCGATGATTTTTACTGTGAACAGCTACCACATGGCCACCGTATACTTCACACCTCTGTTGGAAACATCGTCACGGGAAATGCACCTCAGAAAGAAGAACTGACATTCACATCTATACAGTCAGAAACCCCGCTAATCCAGCACAACATAGTGCACTTTCGTATGCAGTTGGAAACTTTTGGAAACTGGAAGCCATCGGCAACATGGACGATCCCACAAGCGAAGATAATGAATAGTGCCTATAATTCTTCAATTCAACAAGCTATTACAACAGTTCATGCAAAAGGTACGTCGTTCAACTTTCGCTCAAAGATAAGGTTCCCGTTTTACCTCACAACTAGGAATTAGCGCTACGTCGCGTTCCACACATGTCGTTGATAGGTAATGATAGCCATCTGAAAGCCTATCACTCTGGCATCATAGAGCACCTTGAAAAGGGAATGATGAGTATCCTCGTCGTGTTAAGACAACATCAATATCTATCCCAGCATGCTGTTATCAGGAAGAATGACTCTACCACCAATATTAGACGAGTATATGATGCTTCAGCGAAAATCAAGTACAGTGAAGCCTCAACGACATACTATATCGAGGTCCTGTCATATTACCTAACCTCGTCGGTATTCTTATTCGGATACGCTTTTATGTAGTTCTCATCTCCAGCAATATAGAAAAGGCTTTTCTTGTGAATGGACTCCATCCAGATTCACGCGATTTCACACGGTTCCTCATGTTCAAAAATCCAAGAAAACCCTTATCGGAAGCCCATCTTGTCACTTATCGGTTTACCCGCGCTTCGTTTGATTTGATGAGCTCTCCTTCTTTGTTAGCCGAGACTACACAACACTACTTGTCCTAAGCAAACACTCCACTTCTCGTCAGTATCAGCGTAACAAATGCGTTGACAATGTCTTCTATGGTGTCAACACTCTTCAGGAGGGCGTTGCCTATGATCATGAATCAAAAGAACTATTCGCTGCCGCTAGCATGAATCTACGCGCATATGCCAGTAAATACTCTCTTCTCAATCACCTATTTGAAACCAATGAAAACAGTGATATTGCTACCTCGCAAAAATTTCTGAGTCTTTAGGGGAAAATGGTGCACAACTCCATTACTATTTCTGTTGATACATGGTCCGAACCCGTGTTTTTCTGGACTAAATGGCGAGTACTCCAACATGCCGTTAGCATTTTCGACCGACTAGGACTCATTTCTCCCTTCACTCTCAAAAGCAAACTCTTTCTCCAATCTATCTGGAAGTCTCTCACTTGGGACGATGAAATACCGAAAGACAAACTTTCTCAATCGGCTTCAACTTCTCTCTTCACGATATGAACCCGTTACACTTCCACGGTTTATATTTGCTTTCCACGATGTCAAGCAATGTCAGCACGAACTTCGTATTTTACTGATGCGCTCGCTTCCGCTTATTGCGCGGTGCCTTACCTAGTTCAACGTTCACGTTCAACGTCCGCGTCGAGGAACCTCTTCATCGGCCCTTATCATGTCCAAATCATGACGTTGTCCGCTCAATCACGCTATTACCATCCCTCGTCTTGAATTAGCCGCACTCATGATTGGAGCTAAGCTCCTCACCTTCGTCGAAAACCAATAAGAGATGAGCATCTCCAGGACATATCTTTGGACGGACAGTACAATCACTTTGTCATAGAC